TAGCCAGTTATAAGATAATACAAACATATTGGGTCTTTGTCTTGAAAATGACCTTACAGTATCATGTACCGTAAGGTCATTTTCAAGGCAAAGACTCCATATGTTTACTCTAGCTGTAATATTGATTGAATGCACTGTTCTTTCATGCAAATATTCTCCAAATAATAATAATTAGAACCTATGTAATGCCTCAAGAAAGTTCTTAGTAGTTGGAATTTTTTTTTCTAAAATTAGCATAATGATTCGAATTGTCACGCATGCGTGTCCCAAAATAATGCGCAGAGGCTCAAAATAATGTGCCCCTGCGCATTATTATGTGCTTATATGGTATGTCTTTTTTCTCTAATTTGGCAACCTAGTAGTTTAGCTAATATGTTCTCCTACTTAAAGATCTAGTTGCTCAGTTCTCCAATTTCAGTTTCTGGTTTCAACTTCAGTTCTTTTGCAGTACTATTGAAGATCATGCTACTAATTAACTTGGGGCTTGCCAAACAGGTTTTTAGTTATTCTAGTACCTCAGATTTATTATACTAGAGCTTCTATTCTAGGATAATATGATTAAGGCTACAAATTTTTAAATCCTACTAATTATTAAGGGTAGAGTATATATAGTTTATTTTTTATATAATATACATAGTAATTTTTTGTATAGCAAATTATATAGTAAGTACAAATCTAATTGGATAATTACCTGATTTAGAAATATTTTTACTATTTATTTGTTATGTAACTCTAGCAAATTTGAGGTTTTCTCGACAAATTTAATAGTATAAGGAAGTATTTTTTTTTTAAAAATAATATAGCCTTTAAAATTTTACTACTATAAATAGAAGTTATAATTTATGTTTTACAAAAATTTGGTAACAATTAACTATATTTATAAAAATTTTTATCTGTAGCTAATTTTTATTGTCTATATAAGGTTTTGATTTGCCATACATATTATATGAAAAATAATTTACCTATACTCTACTCTTAAATAGCTATTAACTGTATCATAGAGCTATTTTTCAAAAATATCATCTGTGGGATTTAAACTTTAGACCTGCCATTTGGAGGTGTGACAACTCCACCACTTTACCAAGTTGCCATATTCTTAAATAATTAATTAATTAATAAATAATAATAATAATAATTAAATAATAATAATAGTCAAATTTTAGATAGAAACATGTTTCTATAGCAACCCTACATATAGTAGCCAATTATATTTTAGAATTATTACAATTTTTTTATATGTTCTTTATTTTTTATTATAAAATTTAACAATTTTAGCTAATTTTAATTGGCTAATAGTAAGCAACTTACTATATAGCTATATACTTAATTTTGATTGGCTATTTATATAGTGTTGCTATAGTGACCTGTTACTATAAACTGATGTCTATAATAATAATATTTATTTATTTATAAAAAAAATTAAAATTTATATTTTTACTTATAAAAAAAAGCATTTATACTAATTAACTAATATTAGACAAATTAAGAAAAATTACTCTATATATATACTTAAAAACTAAAGATTCTTATTTTAAAAATAAAAAGCTTTAAATATAGTAAATACAATATTCTAGGCTTATAAATTACTACAAATTTTTTATACTATAACTATAGCTAAGGATAAATAGAATCTATTTTATTTATACTTATTTTTTTTTTTTTTTTTATTCTTTGATAATCTTGCCAAGACTTGTATACAGTTTACAAATTAATCTTGAAAGACAATTATAGGTGAAAACAACATAGCTGCAACTAAAAGTCTAACCTTACCCAGTTATCTATTAGCATCTAGCTGTGGCCATCATACTAATTCACAGATGATTCAGATTATGTGCTAGCTCTTAAAGAACTAAAATATTAGGACTAATTTCTCTTTTAATTTTTCCTTCTTCTCAAGAGGCATGAGACAAAAAAGGGAGGAAAAAATAAAAAGTTCTTTAACAAATACAACAAAAAAAATAAAAAAAATAAAACAAACAAAAGAAAAAAAAAACACAGATTTCGAAAAAGAAAAAACAAAAAGAGAAAAAAGATCTATATTAGGAAGTTTTGGCAGTGTTAACTTACAGGGTGTGATGCATTGCTTAACAAACCCTATATAGTTTAACACTTTTTATTAATAAAATTAATGTTAGTTAACAAAGATGTGATAAATAGCTAATAAATAGTTATTTATCATATCTCTATTGTTTAACACTAATTTTATTAATACAAAGTATTAAACTATGCAAAGTTTGTTGAGCAATACATCACATCCTGTTAGTTAACATCTCTCAAAACTTCCTGATATAATAGTACTATTATAATCTGTACAAGGCTTAAAAATTATATAACAAATGCAACATCTGTATATTTCTGCTATAAGACTTTGCCTTAATGTATTAGTTTCTTTCTGACTATATGACCAATTCTGAATATACCGTTAGCTATAGACTAGTCAACAGACTTTGTCATGTAGAGTAGCAACATGTTTGTTACCAAACAAAATACAAGGTTGCAATCTACTGGGTCGACCGAATTTGGAAGAAGTAAACAATGCCGATCTTTTGACAAGGGTAAGCTGTTTTGTCTACTTTTTTTGAAAATTTTGTTGTAAGCACAAGTGGGTGAGAGTAAAGAGTATAGACCTTGTACTTTTCTTAAAGGAGGATATATTTTTCACCAAGAATAATAAAATGAGTAGATCTGAGTGCACTGCTGATATTCTTTTCAGTAAGTAATAAACTCTGAACTTGTTAGCAAGTAGCATATAAAAACTACTTCTAAATAACAAGTACTATCCCTATAGTGAGTGATAAGCTCTAAATCTATTAGCAGATAGCATATAAGAACTATCTCTAAATAATAGATGCTAGTTTATAGTTCTTTTCAGTCTTATGTCCTTCTTTTCTAGCATAGTTTTACTGTTTTTGTTGAAAATTTTTGGTTTAAAAAGTTGGTCCAAGTGATTGTCAGAAAGAGTTGTTGAAATTGACAATTTTTATTATATTAATTTTAATAATAATTACAGTATATTCTTAAACAAGTTAAGTTATACTACTATTATATATAATTGAAAGTAGTTATCAAATTCTTTCATTATAATCTTTCATTATAAATTTATTTGTTTTGTAAATTTTTTAATAGAATTAGGTTTAGGCCACAGATAAATCTCCAAATATACCTAGCTTAGACTCTTGGTTATATGTCTGAGTAGTACTTGGCACAATTAAACAAAAATTTGATAGTCAAATACTTGTTAATACTTATGTTTAAATTGGATATCAAACGATTGCAGATTAACCAAAACTAAATATATACTATTGGTTAATCTGTAATCATTTGATGTCTAACTTAATCACAAGTATTAACAAGTATTTGACTGTTAAATTTTTGTTTGATTGTGCTGAGCACTATGTTTGAGTTCTTATTCTTAGCAGTAGACTTAAAATATAAAACATTTTTCAATCATGTAAAGAGTTTTCATTAAGTTTAAAAAATAAGAGCATAATCTCACCTTAAATATTAAAAAAAAAAAAATTTTCTAATAAAAAAAAAAATTTTTTTTGATTATAACTTAAAATTGTTAATTATTTTAAGTAAAACATAAAAAAAAAGTTATTTCAAACTTTTTTAACAATAGTTTACTATTGTGTTAGTATTTAATAAAAATTATTATAGCAATAACAATTGCAATAAAGTTTAATACAGTATATAGCAATTGCAATTAATATCAAACTTGTTTATAATAAATCCCAATAAGTAAAATCTGATGATTGATACTAGCAGTTTTTATTATATTAATTTCTTAGAATAACAAACATGTTAATTATTCTATGCATTTGAGTTAGTTGTCAAATTCTTTTGCTCTTGCTTGCTCTTGATATCTTATAAAAATGACAGATGAAAATTTCCTTTCTCAGATTTACAAGGAGGTTCTGAGTGTAGATCCAAATTAAATCTAATCTACATACGGTAGAAAGTTGTTACAATCTAATCCATACATAGCAAAATACTGTTACAATCTATTCGCAAATATTCATATGGCAAATGGCTAGATTATAATATCGTTAATAATATCGTTAATAACTCTCCGGGTACTACGTAGTATATGTTTTGGTTTAAAAAGAGTATATAGTATATATCAGATATAATAATTCTTACGTATACGTAAGTGATTCCCGAAATATTCTGGATAAGAGTAAGGATTGTAATAAAAGAGGCTTAGTTTCATTAATTTCTTATTTCCCCAGATCTGATAACTATCGGATTACAACGGGATAATGTAATTACAGAATTATCGCAGTACCACATGTAATACTACTTTAAGATTGATGATTCGTAAAATCGGACATCAGCTTTTTTAGTGTAATCTAAAATGCAGACATACAATTTAAAGAATAATACTATCTCTAGTGAATAGAAATAAAGACGACTTAATAGACAACATACAAAATTTCAATCTTTAAAAAGAAACGATAAAAAAAAAAAAAAACCAATTTCGATACGTTAAACACACTTTTCTATTAAGAGCCGAAACTGGCAGTAAGGAACCTCCCTCAAATACCATACTATATACCTAATAAGAGTTAAATTAAGATTCATTGAAAGCGCCTTTTAGGTTGAGGTAATTGTTTCCGCGAGTTAAACCATTCACTTTTATTATTTTGTTAATTTGTATAATTTTATTAATTTTTTTTTTACGTTCGTGCGTGTATTTTACAGCTCTAAAACATTTTTCGAGCGACTTCCCTTCTATCGATCTCGGCACTCTAAGAATAACGGTATAAAACATTGAAACGAACATAAATTAAGATAACACAGGAGCTGCGATCAATTTTCCCTCACTTATGCCAGGTGTGTCTAGAAAGATCTTATATAGATCATCAATAGATTTTTACATAGAAGCAATTATATAACATTAAATCTTCTCTCAAGATAATCATATAAAATAATTCAATATTGTTCGTATTGCGCGCATCTATTTTCATATAATTTACTGAAATTCTAGCTTTTAAATAATGGCAGTTCATCCATTTTCACATACCGCTGCACTCATTTTTCATCGGTCAAAGAAGTTTGTTTTAAAATTAAATAGAAAGTATAATTCTGGCAGTAGTAGTAATAATAGTAGCTGTGGTAAAGTTAACAAACGTAATCAACAAGATAATGAACCCGATTACCTTTATAAACGGGGCGAGGCATGTCTTTTTGGACGAGCTGGAGAACCAAAAGATGAAAAGAAAGCATTTGATTATTTTCAGCGTGCTTCTAAATTAAATCATACGGAAGCTCGAGGAGTTTTAGGCTTTTGTTATGAATTTGGATTAGGTGTTGAAAAGGATTTTAAACGTGCAGAGCTACATTATATCCCAGCTGCAGAGTCTGGGAATGGATTGGCTCAAGCCAGACTTGCATTTTTAAGAAAATATGGCCGGCCTTGTGTCCGCATTGATCGAGCTGAAGCCGAAATGTGGCAACAAAAAGTTAAAGAACAAGGTGAAACAGCTATTGCTTGGCTATTTCATGCGGCTTGTAATGAAAATCATGCCGCTGCACAATATTCGTTGGGTGTTTGTTATCATGATGGTGTGGGTGTTGATAAAAGTGAGTCTGAAGCTTTCAAGTGGTACAAGAAATCTGCTGAGCAAGGTCATCCACGTGGCCAAGGTATCTTAGGTTTTTGCTACGGGGAAGGTTTTGGCGTTCAGAAAGATGAGGTTGAGGCAATGAAATGGTATCGTAAGGCGGCTGAACAAGGAGAGTCCGTTGCAATATATAATGTTGGTTATTGTTATGAAGATGGAATTGGTGTTGAAAAGGATGTAGAAGAAGCTGTTAAGTGGTATCGATTATCGGCTGAACAAGGGAATGCTTTTGCTCAAAATTCTTTGGGTTATTGTTATGAAGACGGAATTGGCGTCGAGCAAGACCCCGTGGAAGCCGCAAAATGGTACCGAAAATCAGCTGAACAAGGATATCCCTGGGCAGAATGCAATCTTGGGTATTGTTACCAAAATGGCATTGGTGTTCCTAAGGACGACGAGAAAGGTGCTTACTGGTACCGAAAGGCAGCTCTTCAGGGACATGCACGTGCACAACACAACCTTGGTTTTTGCTATCAAAATGGTATTGGTGTACCTAAGGATGAGGTTGAAGCTGTGAAATGGTATACGAAGTCGGCAGAGCATGGAAATATCTTTGCTTATCATTCTCTTGGATATTGCTATCAAAATGGTATTGGTGTTCAAGTTAACGAAATCGAGGCTGTTTATTGGTACATTTTATCTGCAGAAGAAAATCACGCACCAGCTCAACTAAGTCTTGGTTATTGTTTCAGAAACGGTATTGGTGTAGAAAAGAATGAACAGGAAGCAGTTAAATGGTTCACATATGCAGCTCAACAAGGTAACGCATTGGCGCAAAATTCCTTAGGATATTGCTATGAAGAAGGACTTGGCGTCGAAAAAGATGAAGCTAAGGCGGTTTATTGGTATGAACAATCTGCTAAGGCCCAAAATCCATGGGCGCAATGCAATTTGGGATTTTGCTATGCTAATGGCATAGGTGTAGAAAAGAACGAATATATGGCAGTTAGTTGGTACCGTGAAGCTGCAGCACAAGACCATGCTCGTGCACAAGACAAATTGGGTGTATGCCTTCAACTGGGTATTGGATGTGAAAAGGATGAAGTAACTGCGTTATACTATTTCCGCTTGGCCGCTGAACAGGATCACCTGACTGCTATGTACAACTTGGCTAATGCGTTGGAAAAAGGAATTGGTTGTGATGCTGATCTTGAAGGTGCTACGCATTGGCTGGAAAGAGCAGCCAGCTCTGGCTGTCGAAGGAGCTGCGAACGACTAAAAACATTATTAGTGAAGGAATGTTTGGGACAAGAGACAAGTGGAAATGTTTATTTGACTGGATATTGCGCAGCAGCAGCATGAATACTTTTAAACTATTAATTTTAAAAAAGAGATTGAAAAAAAAATTCTATAGTGTTTATCCTTATGCTTACCCTTGTTCTTTATCCTCATTTTTCCTTTTATGTTCGAATCACAATCATCTTTTCATTCATGGCATGGATTTTTCGCCATATTTAGGGTATTTAAAAAACCTTTTCAACTCATATGAACAGTCACATTATCCAGAAAATGGAATATTCGTGTGTATATATTTGATTGTCGAAAAGGCTTGTGTGGGTATTTGAAATTTTATGACGTTGATAAATTCTATTCATCAACATATATTAGGCTCAGTAATATGAATTCATAAGCTTTTTAAATATTCAAAAACTAAAAACTGTATATATTAAATAAACGTGCTAGTGTGTTTTATTACGATTCAATGATTAGTTAGTAAATTGGGTTAATTTATTTTTTGGACGTTATTAGTGATATTAATCTAGCCAGTCAAAAGAATTTTTTTTTTAAATTGCAATACTTTATAAAACTATTTTAGCAAAAATGTTTTTTATTTTTAATAATGTAGTATATATACTGTATATTAAAGAAAATAATGTTAATAAAAGTTTAGTATTATTGTAATTTTTTGCAATACAATATATTAGTTTTTAATTTGTAAATTTTTTAGAAAATTTATGAAATTTTTTTTTTAACTTTGACAATTTTGCCAAAATCTTTATTATCGATAAGAGTGATATATATTACTGTACATATGCTCTAACTAATTATCTACTAATAACAGATCTGATATTACCAAATTATCTTTAACTCAAATGCAACTATTATACCATTTTACAGATAAAATAAATAACTTAGAAAAATACTACCCCAAAATACGTATAAGCAACATATATATATGTTTTTTACTTATATATTTTAGGAAAATTGTATTTATACCACCGTATTATATAACACCTCACGAGAACTGAAATTGGGACCTTATATTAGCTCTATATTATAAAAAAATTCTTAATACCCACACCCTAACCCTAATCTATCTCTAATTAAGACTATATAGGTGTTATATAACATG